TTTTTTTTTTTTTTGGTTTTTTTGAGGCAGGGTTTCTCTGTGGCTTTGGAGGCCGTCCTGGAACTAGCTCTTGTAGACCAGGCTGGTCTCAAACTCACAGAGATCCGTCTGCCTCTGCCTCCCGAGTGCTGGGATTAAAAGGCATGCGCCACCACCACTGGGCTGTCCAATTGCCTTTTAAGAGCAGCACTGCCTGAGGACCACACCCTAACAATGAGGCAGCCCTACTGGTGTGATTAGTACTGTTCTCGACACAGCTCTGGCTCGTGATCCTCCCGTTGAGTTGCCAGTTTCAACAAGTTCTCTCTTCTGCTGGCTTGAAACCCAGAAATACTAAGGCAGTGTATGATGCCAGAAACCTGGTCCCTCTAGGTTTGCTATGAGCCAAGCTCTTTCTGTTGACTGTCATGGACACACAGCATAAGCAAGAAATACAACTTAGTTTTTTTTTTTTTTTTGGTTTTTTGTTTTTTTTAATTCTCTAGATCTGTCACATCGGCACCACATAGCTTTGTGGTGATATTTAGTTTATGATCTAATGAAGCTTGCCTGAAGATCAGAGTGCAAAGCTAGCCACAGCTATAGAGACCAGACACACCTTTAATGCCAGCAGCTACACTAGTTAGCCACAGAGGTCAGGCAGTGGTGTACACAGCTTTAATCCCAGAACTTGGGAGACAGTGGCAGATGCATCTCTATGAGTTCAAGGCCAGCCTGGGATACATGAGAATGAATCAATCTAAAAGAGAAACAGAGCTCACACCTTTGATCTCAGCACTTGGGATCACATGCTTTAAATCCCAACACTAGGGAGGTGGAGACAGGAGTGATAGGGCTGGGCAAAGAGAGGAATATAAGGCAGGAGGAGACAGGAAATCATTTCAGCTTAGGCAGAAGGCAGTCTGAGATTTGGTAGAGAACAGTCTGGAGATGCAGTCTGAGTACAAGAGCGCCCTTTCACCCTTTTGGTCTGAGCATTGGGAGAGGTGAGAACTCTCTAGTGGCTGGCTGCTTTGCTTTTCTGATCTTCAGCTTTAACCCCAATATATGTCTCTGGGTTTTTATTATTAATACTAATTAGCTTATTCTGGTTGATAGAGATATTGGTATTCTGAAGTTGAGATGTCATACCTGTCAAGAAAATAAATAAATAAAGCCCACAATACTACCCAAAATGCACCAACAGCTTTGACTTAGAGGCTGTCTCCACCCATTTTCCTTCATTGTAATAAAGTAAGTGAGGGAGGCTGGATGCTTTTTAAAGAAAGCATGATCTATTTTCATGTTGAGACTCAAAAGAGTGTAATACTGACATCGGCTTGACTCTGATGAAGGCTTCATGGTGCATCGAGTCACAATCGTTGAGCAGCATGGAGAAGGGATGAGCAATGCAGGAAAGTGGTAGAGATTACCGGAACCTACATCCCTTGTAACAACCTACTCTCTCTCTCTCTCTCTCTCTCTCTCTCTCTCTCTTTCTCTCTTGTAACAACCTAGTTTGTTTCTTTGTATCTCTCTCTATGTCTTTCGGTGATTCAGTTGCATGAGAGTTGCCCTAATGCATCTATTCTAAGAGTAGCAGCCCCACCATGCCCTACCCATGCTCCCCAAGCCCAATCCTCAAGTCTGTACTCCTCAAGACTACTGTCCTGGAAGTTAATCTTCTAACTCAAGCTCCTTACCAATCATGTGACAAAAATTAGAAGGCTGGTGCCCACATTATGTGGTTGAAAACAGTTGGCCAGACCATCACATGGGACAGCTTGGAAGGCAGATAATGAACTTAGTTTTCAGGCTTAAAAATAGTTCATGGAAAACAGAAAATTAGTAGCATCTGTCTGTTATTATTGAGCACACTTCAGAAAGTGTTATTTAAAGATCAGCACAACTTGAAAGCAGAAAAGTTATACAAATGTAGACTTGTGGCACTTCTAACTTGAAAAGATGGAAGATGCAATCTCATGCCCAGATTGTAAAAGAAAAAACCTAGAGGCCCTTTGAGAAATGAACACTGGGTAGAAACTCTACTTGATGGAAAAGATCAAGTAACCAACAACTAAAAAACTCACCTTCAACACAGGAGTGTCCAGGGACCCTTCCTACTAAACCACAGCAGTGGGTCTCCTGACAGACAAGAGTGACATTCAGATCTAGAAACTTCCAAATACCACGTAGAATCATCATTGGGTAAAATTACCAAACTTGAAGAAGACCCCACAAAGAAACAGACGTTATTGTGTCAAGCTCTGTCCTAAATATTATGTATATAATTTTATATATTATGTATATAACATACAAATATAGACTCTATATAATTATATATAGATATATAGTATTTATATTGCATTTATATTATATATATATAACTTTGATACACAATCTGACACACATTAGAACCGATCTTCTGTCCTTATTAGCACCTGTGGCACTTAAGCATCTATGGAAGGTATTAAAACCAGACATCATGCTTGATTATTTTGCCAAGGCACCATGAAACCTTCACTCAGAAACAAGCAGGAGGACACTGTGAGTATTATACCACAGAGTTCCAGGTCAGCTTAGCTACAAAATATTTGCTATAGTCTGAATGTCTTCTTTAAATTTTTGTATTAGAAACAATTCTCAAATTAATATTTTAGTGGCATTTGGAAGATGATTGGCTGTTGAGGACTGGGATCCCACCAATTGGTTAATACATTCTCGGATTGACAGAGCCAAACATTAATGAGATAGTGTGGGATTAGCTTTGTTATAAAGGTAGCTTTCTTTGACCTCCTTGCTTGGTTTCACAGTGTGACGTCGTCTATCATGTTTTGATACAGAATGGAGCCCTCATCAAATGCCCTAGTGATGCTGGCAGCCCACTTTTGGGTAGCCCAACTTTCTGTGAACTAAATAACCCTGTATTTTATTTTCAGTTATGTTTCTATATGTGTATGTATCTATGTGTGATTTTGTACATGTGAGTGCAAGCATCCAAAGGGACCAGAAGCAGCAGATCCCCCAAAACTGGGCGTACAGGCAGTTGTGAGCTTCCTGATGTGGGTGCTAGAAATCAAATTCAGCAACTGAGCCACCACTCTCATCCCTGGCCCTCTGTTATTTTATACACTTGATCTCCAGTATTTTGTTACAGTAATAGAAAACAGACTGAAACATTGTTCATATTTTTGAAAGCTGGAAATAATCTATTTCCAAATAATAATAGAAATGAGCTTTTGATGATAATTACAAATATTTACGGCAAATTGTACAGTTGAGGCAATATCCACCTCTAATACAATGTAAAAGTAAAGAAAATTTCTGGAAATAACTTTAAAACCTACAAGTAAAATATCAGGGGCAAAAAAACAAAATTTCCCCTTCTAGCAATAGAATGTTTTCTAGAATGAGTGATTTCTGTCAGTATTTTGGTGGTGATGTTTTGAGACAGGGTCTCTTATAGCCTGAGCTGACCTGAAACTATCTGAAACTAGGCTGACCCTGCACTCACAGAAATGCCACCAACCATATGAGTACTGTGATTAAAGGTATGTGTATCATTCCTGGCTTTAATTTAATCTCGTTTCCAGGTCATGAAACATGTCGGAATAAAACCTGTCCAAAGAGTGCTTGGCAAAAAGAATTTTACTCTAAGTGGGAAGCTTTAATTTTATCATTAAGGTTTCTGTAAATTAAAAACAATGCTAATAAAATGGATTTTCTCCAACTAAATAAACTGTGAAAGGGCAATACTAAGTTTTGACTTCAGGCATTCTACAGCACCTAGCACCCTGAGTGGACACATTCCAAACTTTTCAATCTCTTAAACTGATTCTTTCTACTGATAATGTAAAAGAAGCCAGGAATGGTGGTGGATATATGTAATCCTACAAGTACATGGGTTGAGGCAGGAAGGAGATCAGGAGTTTAAGGGCATCCTGGATTACACAATGAGACCATGTTTTAAAGGGTGCAAAGAAAATGAGTAAGCAAATAAGATGTAAAAGAAAGAAAATGCTGGCCTTTACAAGCTGTGTTTGGGGAAGGAATACCTGGAAGGAATCAGTAGCCGCTTGGCACTCCGAGTAAAGTCGACTTCAAGAACACAATCCCTCTGCTCTGAGAGCCTGGGGTTTATAGAGTTTTGAATGGCTATACAGAGTGGGATCAAATGGAATTAGCCCCTATGGTCAAGACAGGGGTAGTTAGCAAGGACAGGGGACATCTGCAGGGTTTAGTGTTGACTAAGAGTCAGAGTTCATCCACAGAGATTAGAAACAAACCCCTCCCACACAGGCTATTCGAGTATTTGTAAACACACTGCAGAGCTGACAACAAAGAAGAATCTCATTTTGTTTTGCTTTTTGTTTTTCCAGACAGGGCTGCTCTGTATAGCCCTGGCTGGCTTGGAAATCACTCTATAAACTGGAACTCAAGGATCCACCTGCCTTTGCACACAGACACACAGACACAGACACACACACACACACACACACACACACATACACACACACAGACACACACACACACACACACACACACACACACACACACACACACAAACACAACAGTGCTGGGATTTTAAGATCCAGGAACAGATTTTGCATGGAAGAATAAGAAGACACAAATTAAAGTTATTTTTTTATTTTTTAAGGAAAGCAGTATTTTGTAGATGTTTACAGTAATTTGAGCTCAAAGCTATAATTTCCATATGGTTTCTCTGGCCTAGTCTTCAAAATATGCTATGTAAGGCTGATCTAAAGAACACTTGACCACGTCTACTTCTCCACCTCCATTATTCTTCCTTTGGAAGTGAATGCTGATTAGATCCTCCACAATCTCTTCATCCATCCAAACGTCTTCTAACCCAGTCAGAAGCACCGTCCTCTTAGATATGGCTGAAAACACCTATGGAAGAAAAGCAGCTTCTGGAAGAGCGGAATCATTGTGGGAGCCATTTTCAGGCAAGAACATGTCAGAGGGAGACGAGCTTGAGAAAGATGACTATGGCATTGTGCAAATAAGCGGGGGCAGAGGGGGCTCAAAGGACAGAAGGAAGTCTACAGGTAGTCAGAGGTGACTGGCAATACCAGGGACCAGATGACTGCTGGAGGATTTCAAAAATATGGGTTGTCAGCAGGTATGATGGCACATGCCTGTCATCCCAGAACTCAGAAAACTGAGGCAGAAGGATGGTGGCTTTGAGGTTGAATTACATGGCAACCCTGTCTCAAAAACAAAACAAAACAAAACAAAAACGTGGGCCAAGGAGAAGCTCCATGATACAGTGATTACATAAAGAACTTATGTGAAGGCCTGGATTCAGTGCTCAGTACTCCCCCCAAAGAGTGAGTGAGTGAGTGTGTGTGTGTGTGTGTGTGTGTGTGTGTGTGTGTGTGCGCACGCGAACGCATGCTGAAGCTCTCAGAAAGTGGGTAAACAAAGTAGGTAAGTAGTATTGCCATTCACTATCTGAGGAGGAATAGGAAACAGGAGCAGGTTTGGAATAAAAGGGAGTTAAGTGACATTAGGCAGAACTATGTCTAAAAATCAGTGATTGACAGACACATGGGGAAACTATCTCTAGGGAAGTCTCTACTTACAAAAATAAGCATTAGTTTTTTTCCTTATCTAAGTGATTTCAGAGGTTTTGGGGGGGAGGTGGAGGAGTTGTTGTTTTCATACTGGGATAGGCTTAGGGCCTTGTACATGTTAGGAAGGTGGCTGAGTTATAGTCCAAGCCCCATCCCCTGTGCCCTTTTTTAACTTCTTATTTTGAGATAGGATCTTAAGGTTGCCGGGGTTATCTTTGAATTCTGAGGCCCAAGTAGGCGTTGAACTTGAGATCCACCTGCCTCAGCCTCCTGAATAGCTAGGATTCCAGGACTGCACCACCAGGCCTGGCACCCAGTTTTTAAAATATGGCACAGTTTTGCATTAATATATTGTTTCAACTCACTCTGCATGAACCAAGCACAAATGAAGTGAAGAAACTGCTTAGATAGCCCTCTTTAATAAACCGAGCATCACAGACACAGCTCATCCTATGGTCTTTGTCGGGTGTGGCGGAGCAATGAGCTATCAAGCAGAAGGAAAAGAGGTGACTACCTGGTACTTTTCCAAGCGTCTCTCTATAAACGGAGTAACTGTAACTCTATAGCACTTTGAATTCATGTTAAGAGGATAGTCTTTCTTCTTCAAAATCTTGTCAGCAACTGAAAACAAACAAAAAAAGTATTTTCCTTTAATATCATAAACACTTTTAATCATAATGAGGATAGCAGAGGTGTACATCAAGAATCAGCCAAAACTGCTCTATTGCACACCCACAGAGTGATTTTTAGGGATTATTACCCATCTTGTCTAGTGCTCTGCCTCCTAATAGTGACATGAATGTACCACCTATGTCAGTTATGATGAGAAGAAATTGTGATGATAAAGTAGCAAATACATGCAGCCACTGATCTGCCTGACACATGACCTCACCCACTACAATGCATGCCATTGTTCTTTGTACTTGTAACATGCTCAGGGGCAGTCAGGAAATTGTTTCCTGGATTCTGCTTTTTTATAAGGAATAGAAAAATCTCAACTAGACCAACAAGATGGCTCAACAGGCAGGTCCTTCCTACCCAAACCAATGACCTGAGTCCAACCCCCAGGAGCCTCATGGTGGAAGAAAGGAGCAAGGTGCAGGGTATCTTCTGACCTCCACACAAGTGCCATGGCATGCACACATGCATATGCACATACACATACATACACATGCATATACACACACATGCACATACACATACACACACACACACACACACACACACACACATAAACATACACATGCACATGTAGATACACATGCACATGCACATACACATGGGTGCTAAATGAATAAATAATTCTAAGAAAAAGAATTTTTTAAAAGACTTTTCAGAAGAAGGACACTCGCCCAACAATACATTGCAAATACACAAACGGTAGAAACGGTGCAGGGGTGGGGTGTTTACCTACCTCCAGCTTCCACAAACGTGATCACAGCGCTTCCTGACTTCTTATCATAGTCCACACTTTCCACCTCTCCACCTCCATTCTTGGACTTACAGAAGCTCAGTTCCAGCTTGTCTCTTGTCTGCTCTTCAGGAAGTTCATCAGGAATTCCCGTCACGTTGATCTTCATTTTAGAAATGTTCACGTGAACCTGGGAAAGCATTTTATAGTCACAAGTTTAAAAAAAAAAAATGCCTGTGTCCAAAAGAATGGCTAAGGCTTTAACGACTGTCTCACCTGGAATTTGACTCCTATGTTTAGCGGGACTGGATGTGCAGTGACCTTCACAGGGGCTTTCTCCATCTGCACGACATGCTTCCCCATCGTTATCACATTCTGTGCAACTGGAACACCATGTTAGAAATAGACATTCATTATACCCTGAGAAAACTTTCCACATTTTAGTCAAGGACAGTTACTGTCTTTTCTCATTTTCTTCAATGCTGTTTTTACTATATTTATTTATGTGGGGGGGGAGGGGTGTTCTGGTGAGGGGCATTTGTGTGAAGGTCAGAGTTGGTTGTGTGAGAGTTGGTTCTCTTCCTCCAGCATGTAGGTCCCAGGGATGGCACTAAGATCAGCAAGATCAGCACCACGTGCCTCTTCCATCTTACCAGTCTCATTTTCCTCAGTTTCAAAGGATCAAATTTTAACATTTTTCTTGGGACTTCCAAGTTGCAATAGTCTTACCACCGAGATAGGAAAACTCAATGTAACAATGCATAAGCAAAACAAAAAAAAAAAGGCAATATAAAGATTTTCAGTTTCTAAATTCACCTTAAGGGACACTCTATCGTCCTCTGCCTTACAACATAAGCCTATTATTCTTTGGTTTCCTTATCAGGTCAGTGTAGACACACGCACTCCCTCTTCACAGCACTACCAAGGAATTCCCCTAGTACAGTAAAGCTCAGTCAGAAATCCCCCCCCCCCCTTAGTAAGGTAGGAACACTTTTGTGGGCCAGTGTCGTTTTTATCATTTTATCTCACTTTATCCTTTGTCATGTTCACATGCTACTAGCACCAAAGAAAGTGCTCTTTTTAGTCTATCTTTCCAAGAAAGACACATTACTTTGCTTTTTTCTATAAACGTTCTTTAAAATACTGAGAGTGCCGCTGTATCTATCACAGAGTAGTTTCATTGTTCCACACAGATGGTAGAGGCTCTGTAATACAACTACACCAAAGCCAATAGAAGTTCTAAGAACTCCATACTTGTTTAAAATGAATGTGGATAGGAGTTTCTTTCTCTTTTCTCTTCGTCTTCCTCTTCCTCTTCTTCTTCTTCTCTTAACACAGGGTTTCTCTGTATTATCCTGGCTGTCCTGGAACTCACTATGTAGACCAGGCTAGCCTGGAACTCAGAGATCCACCCGCCTCTTCCTCCTGAGTTCTGGGATTAAAGGCGTGCACCACCACTGCCCAGCGAGGAGTTTCTCCTTTACTGTGTGCTGAGTTTATAATACTCCAGCTGTTGCTTTGTGAAGCCACTTATTCTAATTTATTATGAAGATAAGAGATGCTTGTTTCCCCTCTTACAAACCCGTGTGTGTTTATGACAACCAGGGAGCACACCACAGGCTGAGGAAGAAACAAAGCTGGAAGGCAGGGCGTTGTTGGGTGGGAATTCAGGCTCACTGTACCACAAAATGACCCTAGAATTTAGATGCTTTTGTTTTGTTTTCTTTTGCTAATGGCAACAGATGATGGTAACAGAAAACATCAATGAAGTAATACTCAGATGATCCTCTCATTATCCCCAAGCCCCTAACATCTGGTGATCTGACTCAACAGAGAGGGGCCCACTTGTATCCCAACTGTAGTTGCTATGACTGTCAAAGTAAATCCTGTTTACTTCTGTTCCCCTGGAGCTGCGTCCTGGTGTGGGGACTTCAGACTCAAGGGAACAAGCAACATTAAGGCTGCTTCTGAAGTAACTCCTAATCCCAGAAAGTCCAGGTGACTGCTATGCAGTGACTGCCACATAGAAACCTGCTCCCAGTGACATGCCAGTCTAACTGCCCATTGCCAGCAAGACTTCCCTCAACTGTGGCCAGTGTGATGGGCCAGATGCCAGAAGACACAGATAAAATCACAGGTTCTAAGACTCAAGAAGCCTGAAATGGTCCTGAAGACCATGTTGACCCATCCTGTAGCATTTCGTTGCCAGAACCAAAGCCTGCCCTCAGGAACGTTGGTCCAGGAGGACACGCACAGGCACTTAGGGGACCCTGTCAGCTCTGGAGTTCAGCAAAGGAAACTCTTCTCTAGGCTTCTGTTTCCTTGTCTGGGAAACCCCTCACACAAACAGCAACCATAGCAGCTGACACAGGTATGTTGATTGTGTGCATTCAATGCACAGCTGTCATTTAATACACAAACAGCTTATGAAGTTGGAATTATCACAAAGCCTGTCACAAAAATCTGAGGCTTACAAAGAACTCAGATCATGCCTTCCAGAGGAGACAAAGCTGGCCCTCAAATCGTCCTCACAAAGGAGCCAAGCCCTGAAGGGCTCATACAGTTTTGGACTTGGCCAACATCTGGTCCCATCCCAAACCTTTCTATTCCTGGACTCAATCCAATAACAGAGTAATTAATTTACTAAATCACTTAACTATCCTCAGAATCTGTTTCCTTACCAATCAAATACACAAAATTACAGAATTGTGTAAGTATGAAACTAGATGTCCCAGAGAACACCCGGAGAAGTAGAGTCTGCTACTTTTTTTACTTCTAACACTTTATTCATTCTTTTTTTTTTTTTTTTTTTGAGATAAGGTCTCACTATGTAGTTCTGGCTGGCCTGAAACTATGTAGACCACAGTAGCCTTAAACTCATGGAGATAGTTCTGCTCCTGCTTCCTGAACACTATGATTAAAGCTGTGCACCACCATACCTAGCAAATTCTACTTTTTTTTTTGGTTTTTCAAGACAGGGTTTCTCTGCATAGCTTTGGAGCCTATCCTGGCACTCGCTCTGGAAGTTTTATTTCTTTATGTTATTATAATGTCACAATATGTTTATTTTAAGGGACATAGGTACTAAAAAGAAGCTGACATTGGACATCGCAACTCTTACATTTCCTGAGCCATTACTTTTTGAATGTGTGATAAACATGGATCCTTTAATATCATCGCGCACATAGCATTGTCAGTACTCCACATCATTGTATATATAATATTATACATTATAGATAGTACATCACTATATATTGTAGGCAATAGACCTAACATATCTAATATACTTAATGCCTGGTTTCCTTCTCTGTAAATTGAGACTATCAGTCACATCTGCCTCAGAACACCACTATGAGGACAAGAAGAAACAGCAAACACAGATTGTAAAGTGGCAGCCAGACAACTCCAGAAGATCTTTGAAAGTCCAGGTGCTTGCAAAAGTGACAATCATGTTTTTAAGATCATACCTTCTTCCTTCTCAAAGGTGATAAGTGCTTGTCCCTTCTGGATCTCATAAGAAATTTGTGAGCTCACTTGAAATGAACAGCAACTATTTGAGAACCGGTCATCATGCTCCGAACTCTCCACTGAGATGAATTTAAGATTTCTTTCTGGTATATTCTCTTTAATCTAATTAAAACAGATGTGTTTGATTAAAATCAAGACAAGAAATAACTTAAGTCCTCCCAATCTAGTCATCCAATTATTCGATCTCCACTGACTATAGAGCTTTAAGTACATTGACTGTACTCTTGCTTACCATCTATAGAAATTGCTTCTTCACAGGCAGTTTCTCAGTAAGGTAATCAACTGCTGATCTTTTAATATCATTTTATAGATGAAATCATAAGTATAAAATCAGCTCACTTTCCCTAACCCATGTTTAAGCTGATCAATATTGTTCGGTATCCAATTCCAAATCCCCACCATTTATGTAAATCAGTGCCTTGTTGTGGAACAATCTTTTTGTATGCTGTAAAGATGTGTCTTTGCCAAGGTGCCTTCTGATTGGTTTAATAAAGAGCTGAATGACCTATTGCTGGGCAAAAAGAGGTTAAGTAGGACTTCCTGGCAGAGAAAGAAGAGAAGGGGATGAATCTAGGTGTGAGAGAGATGCCAGAGGACACAGAGAGGAAACAGGAGGTACAAGATGGGAGACAGGTAAAAGCCACGAGGCAAAACGTAGATTAATATAAATGGTTAATTTAAGTTATAAGAGCTAGTAGGACAAGCCTAAGCTATAAGCCAACCTTTCATAATTAATAATGTCTCCGTGGTTTTGTGTGTGTGTGTGTGTGTGTGTGTGTGTGTGTGTGTGTGTGTGTGTGTTGGCAGCCCAAAGAAAAATCTGTCTCCAGTGCCTTTTAAGTAACTGTGCCAGTAATGCACAAACTCAGGAAGAAATTATTAGAAATTATGTTTAGTTTCATGGCAAGGATGCATGATAAGTGAGGTAAGTTTCAAGCTGTGTATGCTGAGCTTTCTTTTATTCATTCACAGTTTCATGCATAAGTCAATGAATTTTAGTAATTTTCATCCTTATTCCCCCTCTCTCATTTCACTTGCCTCTACTGACGAAATCTTTTCTTTAACATAACTATCCTTCCTTTCACATCTTGTGTGTGACCCATGGTGTCTGATTAGTTTCCTGCCTGAGCATGGGTGGGGGGGTTCTTTTTTTTTGTTTTTTGTTTTTTGTTTTTTTTGTTTTTTTTTTTGTTTTTTTTTTCATAATGCTTTGTTTCATGGTGTCTGATTAGTTTCCTGCCTGAGCATGGGTGGGGGGGTTCTTTTGTTTTGTTTTGTTTGTTTGTTTTGTTTTTTTTTTCATAATGCTTTGTTTTGGCTTTTTTTCTCTCTCTCTTTTTATTATTATTAATTCAAGTTAGGGAACAGGCTTGTTTCACATGTAATTCCCCTCTCCCTCTCCCTCTCCCTCCCCTTACCCCCATTCCTTCTCCCCCACCTCCAACCTACCCCCCACCCCATCCACGGGTGGGGGCTGGTTCTTAATGGAGGAGACAACTTCTCAGTGGCCACACCAGGAGGGAAAATGACTTCCCCTCCCCCAGCGGCCATTAACAGTCAATATATTCTCAGGGAGGGATGAAGCCTCATGGGCCCTTCCCCCATAGATGGTGAAATGTTGGCAGGTCCAAGTTCATACAGACAGCTATATCCCATCGCATCTTCCAGAAGACATCTGTTTACTGCTCATATGCCTATCCTCTTACATTTTTCCCATCCTGTGTTCACCAATGTTGCTTGAGCCTGGATCCGGTAATATAGCTGTCCCATCTAGGACCAAGAACTCTCTACCACGAGTGATTTTGGTTTGTTTGTTTGTTTGTTTGTTTGTTTTTTATGACAAAACCAGATAGCTTCTTTTTTTCCCCTAAGACTACTGAGGCTACATGATATGAAAACTGACAGCATTAAATTCCAATTTCACCCAAATCTCCCAAGAACGTTAGTGGGTTTTTTGTTTGTTTGATTTTTGTTTTGTTTTTAGTCAGGCTGTCCTTGAACTCAAGATTCTCCTACACCAGCCTCTTCAGTGCTGAAATTACTGATGTCACCACATTTGACCTACCTATCATCTTTTTAATCATTTTCATAATTTAAATTTATACAACAATGAAGAAAACACTATCAACAAGAATTGTAACCTACCAGGGAAAAAGTGAGTAGTTGTAGTTACCTGTTTAAAATCATCAATATCAACAAATGTTGATACACAGCTTGAAACTTACCTCACTTATCATTGAAGTCCTGGTTTCTCAAGGGAGGCCTGCCTCCCGAGTGAACCACTATATAACTCAGAACATGCTTTATTCAAATAGGAACATACAGAATGCCCTTCATTGATTTTTATGTATCGATGTCATATTTGTTACATTCATGCATGTTGTATATAATTGTTCTTGTTTTGGTGTAGAATTTAATTGTACAGCTACACAGTAATTTATCATTCATTCGACTATGGAAGAACACTTGGGTTTTTCTCCATTTGGGGCTATTACAAACAGTAGCCCAAGCTGGGCATGGCAGTGCACTCCTCTAAAGCCGGTACACAGGAGATGGAGGCAGGTAGATCTCTATGAACTTGAGGTCAGTATGGCCTACATAATGAGCTCAAGACCAGCAAGAGCTGCTCTCAAAAACAAAAATGAATACTGGTGTTATAAGTGACTATAATGCTTTAGAGTTAATCATGTATAACTAAATCATTTTTCTGAAAAGTACATGTCCATTAAAATATACATAAAATAATCACAGTACTTGGAATTCTCTGGCGTCCGAACATAACTCTGCTTCAAGCTTTTTGATCTCCTGTTCCAGGTGCAAGTTTTCCCTCATAATTTCATGAATTAATCCCTAAAAAACACCAAATAATAGAAAAAATTAACCACCTTCAAGATGCCTTTTCTAGATTAATTAAAGATGCAAATTCCCCCACCCCAAACCTAGGAAGCCTTAGGACAGCCTCAGAATAAATATGCCTACTTTCAGAGTGCATAGTCTTAATACCTTACTTCATTGCCCGATGGCTCTTCGCCTTTTTTTTAATGACTTTTTTTTTTATTTCATATGCATTGGTGTTTTCCCAAATATATGTCTGCGTAAAAGGCTAATATCTCCTGGAGTTACAGACAGTTGTAAGCCACTATGTAGATGCTGGGAATTGAACCCAGGTCCTCTGAAAGAACAGGCAGTGCTCTTAACTGCTGAGTCATCTCTCCAGGCCCTGGCAGTTCTCCTAATCCTACCAAGATTCTTTAGCTCTATTACATGATCAAAGAAAGTGTTGTCTTCCACATTAGATACAGAATATTTTACAATTAAGGCAAGGAGTGAGAGACTCAGACCTCCTGGACTTAGTTAAATTCTCCTTTCTAAGCTATCTGTAACTATAATATGACTTTCAATTGCACTGTAATTGTGGACACATTACACTGAGGCAGTTTTTTATTGGTTTTGTTGTTGTTGTTGTTTTCTATTTGTTTGTTTTATTTTTTGGTGGGGTTATTTGTGGGTTTTTTTTTTTCTCTGTTTATTAGCAATGATTCCAAGAGTAGTCAACTGCTTTGACAACGAAACATATGCCTTGCTAACATCTCTGAGCACCTGGGCCTCTGTTCCCACTTGGGTCTCATTAGGTAATTGCTCACATTTCACTTGCTGCTATAAACCCAAAAAAGAAGGTGAGAAAACACTTAATTTTTTAAGAAAACACATTGGAACACAACTCTTAGTATAAAGTTTTACAATACAACAAATGTAAGGATCTTTAGAAAAGCCCCAAAGCCTTACAATGCCAAGGTAATATTTAGCACAGACAAAAAGTGCATGTTACTTAAAAATGAACAGGCACAGCCGGGCAGTGATGGCACATGCCTTTAATCCCAGCACTTGGGAAGCAGAGGAAGTCAGATCTCAGTGAGTTCAAGGCCAGCCTGGTCTACAAAATAAGTTCCATGATAGCCAGAACTGTTACACAGAGAAACCCTATCTCAAACAAACAAAAAAAGACACAAATCATTCTTAACAGCATCTACTAATAATTTTACCTCATTTTGTTCAGTTTTCATAACTTCTTTCTCTGGTGAGTGCTTTTTGTTGTCAGTATCAGCATCCATGATTTTCTAGTAAAAGGGGGTGCTTTTACAACCATATACAACACAAATTCAAGAAAAAAAAAAAGAAAATACAGATTTTACCCTTTTGTGCAAGAAACATGCCTTCTTTGCTTTGTATTGTTTTTTTTTTCTATAATCTAAGTCTTGTCATGTGACTTACAGCCAAACATCGTCTGTATTTTGAAGAATTTCACTTCCCTAATTGCATAGGAGCAGGAGCGAGGCTCATTAAAGGACCTGCCAACATGACTGCTCCATGGTATGGTTAAGGTCTTTATTATGAACAAGAGAAAACATCTAGAGGCATCTGGAAGAGTCCAGAGCAGAGAGAGGAAGTAGACTGAACACGGTCAGCAGACTGGACATAGCCAGGGCTATCTGTGAGAGAGGAGAGAATAGCAGGAGACAGAGAATCGAGAGCATAGTGTGAATAGCAAGAGCAGAATCGTAGAGATTTGAGGCTGCAAACCCAATTCAGGATGCTGATTGTCTGTCTTTAAAATATGGACATAGAGGCTGGGGAGATGGCTCAGGGGGAAAGTGCCTACTGGGTAAGTACTGGTACCTTCCATCCTGGCCTCCCACATAGAAAACAAGGTGTGATGATGTCACCCAACCTGGCCAATCAGGAAGCTGCAGGTCCAGTGAGAGATCCTGACTCAGCAAAGTAGAAGACGATACCAGACTTCCATCTCTAAGCTCCACAGGTACATGCCCAAGTATGTGGGGCTGGAGAGGCGGTACTCTGTACCTAACAGTCCGTTCATCTAGCAGAAGACCCAGGCTCAGTTCCCAGGCCCCAAATCAAGTGGCTCATAAAGGGACCCCAGTCCATGCACATACAGACACACATAAGCACATCCAATTTTAAAATGACACTAAAAATAAATATCTTTAAATTGAAGTGTGTGTGCATCTGTGTATAAGCCACCAAGGTCATGTAATTTATTATGGCAGTAAATTTTAAAAAAACAAACAAACTATTCTTCCTAACTATATTTACATCACCATGTTGGGCCTGGCAGCATAAAGAAAGAAACATAATGTATGCATGTTGTATAGACCAGAAACATGTCAAAAGATGAATAAAATTTTAATAATTAAAAGTTCCTAATTAAGCCTGGTCTACAAGAGCTAGTTCCAGGACAGCCTCAGAGAAACCCTGTCTCAAAAACCAAAAAGTTCCTAATAGTGCTTCTTTTGCAATTTTACAATCAGGTGACACTTTCGAATAAAATAGTCTATCTGGTTATGGTGGCACAGGCCTGTAACAGGATGATCAAGAGTTCAAAACCAGCACAATGTAAACAGAAAGCTGATATTTTGATGTGTGTGTGTGCTGGCAGAAGTTGGGTTTGGGTTTACAAACAGAGAAGAAAGCTGGGGAAAAAACAAAACAAAACAAAACACAGAAAGTGAACTGCTTGATTCAAGGTTAGGTTCTTTGCAAGGCTGGGCCGGGGATAGAAATAGAATAACTAACTGGTTGGTGAACATCCAGGTGCTTTGGGGGGATTAAAGCAGTGGTGATTTCATTCTCTTGCCCAATGTAACCCGCCGCTTTCCCTCTACCCCTGTTGGGCAGGACACGTGAAAAGTTCCCTTCTGGAGCACACAAGTTAGAATGAGCACCTCAGGTGCATAAGACTTCTCAGCCCAAATCAGTGGCCTCCTATAATTTTTATTGAATATTCTCCTTTTAACGGCAGCGCCTGCCAAGGAAAAAATTGTCTTCCTGAGAAATCGATTTTCCTAAGAACACTCATTCTAAGTTTCCATTTCCCGGGAGGGGGAGGCAAGACCAGGCCGGAGCACAGCGCCCTTTTGGGCGCATCCCCAGGCAGCAAGCCCGGGACCCCGACCCCAAGCCTTCAACCTACCAGGCTGGGCTGGACACCGCCCCCACCCTAAACCCGCCCCACGAC